GAATGAGATATTGGACGTATTGGTAGTTCGTGTCATACATTTATTTATAAGTATATTTATTTACCGCAGAAACACCTACTTTCTATCAATTACGTTATATGTAAGACTATGTACGTAATAGAAGGTAAGATTATTGCCGGATACCGTGTTTTAACTAAAAAATATGATAAAACCGAAGTCTTAGTAATATTCGTCTTTTGCCGTTAAAGGTGAAAACCTGAGAGGCTGAGACCAAGGGTCTAATAGTTGAGCAAGGGCTAAACTGTCGCTATATAATATATAATATTATACTTATGTAGTCAAAAGACTAAACTTTAATTTTCCCAATTTTTATTCTGCCATGTATAAATTACCTGTTGAACCCACACTTACACAATAACAAACATATATCAACTTACCCCAAACAGCAAGCGCATCTCAAAGATGGCGTCCTCCATTTAATCAAATGACGTCATTAACATTCTTAAAGCTTGATCCACACTAGCGTCTTGGGTTATAACTCAAACGCACCGCAACGGCAAATCCTGCTCATTAGTCGTCTCGGCCCACTAATGTGTCCTCGTCCTATAAAGTGGCTTAGAAGCTTCATGTCGTGTACTTCACTTCAGTCATAAGCATTAATGTTATGTGAAATGATAATGGGGAATGAGTGAAGAATATTTTAGTAACTAGTAGACTTTGCCTTCGTTTTACTTACTTTAGTTAGTGCCTTGTTTGCAGACGAAGAAGTTTGATGGCTTTTGGGTTTCTGAAATTTTCTGTTCCTTTCATTTATGAGAGTTATAGTGTGAAGGGTTTATTTAGTATTTAAATGCGAGTATGTTATTACTTTCATCAATAGATGGTGCTAGTAGTCTTAAAGTTACTAGACTAGAAAACAATTTCTGATGTTGTGACATTGACAGTTTAAGAGCTTAACATATTTAGGTAGTAATTTTTAATATATCGAAGAGACGATGCAATGGTTAGTTATATAAAAGCTATATACGGGTGACTAGGAGACTTTAGGGCTGATTTTTTAGAAAATTTGTTGTATTATCATTTCCCGAAAGGAATACGTCGTGTAAAAAGGCACCCTGTATATTGCCGCGGAAGACTTAACGGGTTGCCGGGGCTCCGGCTCGAAGTGCAGGAGTAGGAACGGGGTGATTTTTAGTCAGTAAGAGTCTGACACTTCCTCTCGCCTCACCCGGGCGGAAGAAGTCATTGGATGATTTTCCCCCTCAAAAAAAACCCTATATACTAGACCTGTTAGTCAATAACGATAAATAATTGCTCGCAACTCGCAGGGAACTGTTACATTGACATTTTCAATTTGACATAGGTATTTAAGAATAAAGTGAAGCTGAAAATAAATGCTTATTTAAGGGCTATTTTTAAACAATGTTATTATTACACCAACTACTCGAAAACTTTTCAGTTGTTTAAGAACTTATCAGGAGATAACAGAAAACTATTAATTTCATACCCTTTTTACAGCACATCACGGCACTTAATGCCACTGTAGGTACAATGGCTACCAGTTTTCACTATTTATGTTATGAGTCCCATGTAATATGAGCCTATTGCTTCTTCCGGGCACACTTCCAGACTCCGTGCTTCTACTGAAAATTTTTTGAAAACCCCGGTAATACTTTTTCCTTCCAGGAAATCTAACCCTGAAAACATGCGACCACTCGGTCAACGAGGCCATGAACAAAATTTAACTTAAAATATAAATTGGCGAGATAGTAAGAATTTTCAGAAAAACGCTTGTGAAAAAGATGCGTGACAAAATATCATGTTCTTTGAAATTATAATATATTTTAGCTATTTCAGTATAAGCCTTCATCCTACATATTTCCTGAAAATTACACTAAATATACCATCAAACGAGACGGTTGTAAGTCCCAGCTCATTAGTGCTTGCTCTCATACGCTTTGTGGCGATATGTGGCGCAATCTTGTTCGTCAAGTATGATTGCAACGATCCTTGTGGGTAACTCATCATGATAGTTGCATATGAATTATGAGGCACTAGCTTCTGCCAGCGGTTTTGCCCGCGTTCCTGTGTGATAAAAGCCTATGTATTATTCTAGACCATAACCTACTCTTGTTCCAGATTTCATTACGAACTCTTCAGCCTTGACGTGAAGGAGTAACAATAAACAAACAAACAACCAAACATACAAACAAACTTTCGCGTTTATAATATTAGTAGTACCCATTAAAAATCCGTCCGTATACATATATGTACAAATCTTTTATTTGATAGCGAAGGATGTAGTGTACTGGACTGTACTAGCTGCTGTTTTAAAAAGATGTCTAAATTATATATGTGTTTGTTTTATATTGCAACAATACTATTTATGTTTATACTCCCATGTAAGAAGGTGAGCCTATTGCTATATACCGGACACACTTCCAGGCTCCGTGCTACTATTAAGAAAATTTTGAAAATCCCCAGTAATACTTTGTCCGACCCGGAAATCTAACCCGAGACCCCTTGCTCCGGCAGTCGCACTTGCGACCACTTGGCTAACAAGGCAGTCTTATTATATTACGAAGCAATGAGGTAGTTTTTTTATAATATTGATATCATAATTGTTAAGGAAACTAATAGTTCTGTTAACTTCAAAGAATTCTTTGTTATTTATACAGTGTACTATGTTTCTTACAGAATGACTAATTTACTTGTTAACTTACATGTGGGTCTGCTTTTATTGAACTTTGGACCTTAAGTTCAAAGGCTTTGACCCTTCCAAGAAAGTGTTCGTCGTGTGTTTGTCCCTACATCAAAAATTCATAGCAATACCCACAAGATTAGTATGTATATTTAATTGTATTTGCTGACGACAAAATATAGTGGTAGATGCCACTGACCGAAATTCTTTGATATGTTATTTTCTGTTCTATTCTTTAATTATAAAGTTGATATTTCGCTGGAAGTTTTAAAACGTAATTATCTTGATATGGACATTGGAGGGTTTAGTACTAAGATGTTGACAAATAACTGTAATTTTTTTGGCTAATTCGCATTAGAGGTGCGATCGTGATGACACCGGCAATTTACCGGTCATGGTGAAGTTCAATTTAATTTTGGGATCCCCCTAAAAATTCTGAAATTCCTACCAATCTACCTTCCGCACGACTTTATCTCAGCTATACATTTAGCAGTTAAGAATTAGCGATGTATGTATATGTAAATAGTTAATGATTATTCACTCTAAAAGAAAGAAAACGATATCATTCAAAAAACAATAAAATGCAACATAACTATACACCGTGTTCGTTAGATGACTATTTAAACTGTTTGTAGAGTCCTTAATAACTATAGACCTTAATAACTACATGGACACGAAATCTAACATTTATAATCCTCTATCACTAAAAAAGCACAAGACGGTCATTAAAACAGATGTAATTCTTGCAGTTCCATCTCAGTCGTCATTCCTTTGTACATAGACACGTCTGCAGCAAAGCATTCAGCTTCACGCAAGAAATCCAAACATACTTTGTGACACAAAACGGAACAGACAAAAATGACACATTCCTATTCCTATTCACTCAAAAGACGCAATGTATAACGGTTTGAACGATAACCTTTTCATGACGTAGCGTAGAGGGGGCTACGCCGTAGCTGTGTGCTACGCGCTACATTCCAGTTTGCTACGAGACCCGGAGCGGGGCGGTCGTTTTGCGTTCCCCGTAGCGCTACGCCGCGATGTCCGCGTAAATTACAAGTTGTGTTTTTTTAAATGAAAGTTACCGACTTTAAATGAAAGGGTGCTTTCATTAAGTGTGTAACAGTGAACAGTGGTGGTTAGATGCTAAATTAAAATTGTACATTTGTTTCTTTCTGTGTGAGTCGTCTCTTAAAAAAGCTCCGTTGTGTTCATTTATTTCAAACAAAGATGTGAACGTCTTGGGTGCTTTTTCTTTTTTACTAATGATGAAAAAATGTGTTCATTTGTTCAGTGAAATACTGAAAGCGCTTTGTTCAAATACAACTAAACCGTAATTTAGGTCCTACTTTCCGATTAAGTTAGTTGCGGGTTCTGACTCAATTCAACTTTGAGGAGAATTCTATCTCAAACTTGGAGTTAGGACTTGGTCCATAGTTTCTTAGATATCTCTATAGCAGTACTAGTATATTAATCGATTAAATGTCAAATTTACTTTCTACAAAAATGATTTTTATAAACATTGTATTAGACAGATTTTAGAAAAGCATCACTTGAGTTCTCTTCAAAATGTTAATAAATTTATACAAATTATTCGGAATTTTCAGTACATTTTTAAAGTAACAACAAAGGAAAGGCTTCACTTATTCAGACACTGTTAATTGGATACCGATTAATTATATCGAACTGTAGTAGTTTTCAAGTAATTACAAACACTACGACTTGTACCGGTCTTAGTCTATGTTGTTTGTTTCTATTTATAGATAGTAATTTGATATTTGCTACAAAATTTATAATTTACAACAATATGTTGAACATGTATTCAAAATCAAATAACTACTACTACAGCTCTTGTTATTTAAATTGAAATTGACATGTGTTGTTGATACCAAAGATTTTAATATTTAGCTTCTCTCATTTAGAAAGGTATTTCTAGTTATTCGGACGAAAGATAAACTAGTTTAAAATAATTTTGTCATACATTTTTACTTCAAATATTTTCCAAAATCTCTGTACTAAATCATTAAACGTTTTACCTCTATAGGTATTTCCTAACACCAAAGGAGCGCCTGAACACGTAATTACAACGTCAACATATTTTAAAAAAGCAAAAAAAGCACCACACGCTGTACATAACAAAAAAAAATATAATAATAAAAGTCGACACGTAAGCAAACACGCGTCCGCCGTAAAAAACAAATGAAAGAGTGCAGAGATTAAATGAATCGTGACTGAAATTAAATGAACATTTATTTTTAAATGAAAGAACACAATATAAAAGTGACTTTAAGTGTAAAATGTACTGTTTTGGGTGAAATCGAATGTTGATCAGAACGGCATGAAGAACGGAAAGACTTACTTCTGGTCTATGCTACAGGCCTTAGCATTGTTACCTACGATGGCTTTGAAGGGTAAGTTTTAATAATAAACTGACTGCCTCTTTGGCCGAGTGGGGCGCAAATGCGACTGCTGGTCAAGAGGTCTTGGGTTCGATTCCCGGGTCGGGCAAAGTATTACTGGGTTTCTAAAAATCTCAGTAGTAGCACGGAGTCTGGATATGTGCCCGGTATATGGCAATAGGGTCACCCCCTATTACATGGGACTCATAACATAAATAGTGAAAAGTGGGTGTTACATTGTACAGTGGCATTTAGTGCCGTAATGTGCACCTCCGCCTACCCCTTCGGGGATAAAAGGCGTGATGTTATGTTATGTATGTTATTTCTAAAAGAATAAGTAGAGGTGTACTTACAAAATGTTCTCATTTTACCAGATTCAAACTACCACTACCTATACCTACGAATCCTATGTTAATAAGTTTCCTAAATGAAAGAAAGATTCCGGAACTCATAACACAGCTGATAATATTAGCTGTATTATTATATGTTATAAGTTGATGCATTTAATACTATTAAACTTACAAAATAAGTCGTGCTTATTGTCAAAAATATACACATTGAATTTCAGTCACTGTAAATCCTAAACTTACTCAACTTGAACACAAAGTCAAAGTCAGAGTCAAAATCATTTATTTCAATTAGACCAGGAAGGCACTTTTGAACATCCACAAAAATAATTGAAAGCAAAGCTATTTGCTCCACAAAAGTTCCTACTCCACTACATAAGGAAAAAAACACTAGTTTATAAATACACCTCAGTAATTTCGTTCTTGATACACCTGGCATATTTTCTCAGTCGTCTTTTATGGTTCCCAGAGGAGGCTTGTAAAAGATACGAGAGTTAAGCACGTATGTTTACCGACGCAAGGATTAAGTACTTAATTTCTTCCATACTCATATTTTTAATGTTTGTGCACACTATCTTTGTAAATAGAAAAGATATTACGTTGCTTTTGAGAGTGATATTGCTTGGGGATATGAACGTGAAATTGCTTTTTATGTTAATAATTGGTTTTATAGAGATTGGTAACAGCCTCGTTGGTCGAGTGGTCGCAAGTGTGACTGCCGGGCACGGGGTCTCGGGTTCAATTCCGAGTCGGGAACAAAATTACTGGGATTTAAAAAAAATCTCAGTAGTAGTACAGTGTGTGAAATTGTATACGGCAATAGGCACACCCCCTATTACATGGGACTCATAACATTAATAGTGAAAAGTGGGTGTTACATTGTACTGTGGCATTAAGTGCCGTAATGTGCATCTCTGCCTACTCTGTCGGGGATACGAGGCGTGATGTTATATGCTAAGTATAATTTTTTGGGTTTGCGTTTTGATATAGGAGGATCGTATAGAATTGTAGAGTAGACATCGTAGGATACATCAACAGCCTATAAGTTCCCAATGCTGAGCAAAGGCGTCTCCTATAACATGAAGAAGGTGTACAATATAGTTGTCGCTAACCATAAGCCTCTCTAGGTGCCGTAAGATTGTCTGCTCTGTAGCAGAGTAGAATACATTGGTTTTTTTATGAGTGTTGCAAGATACAATATTTGTGACTAACCATAACCTGATCCTAAACATCTAACAAACCTGCCAAACGTGGGGATGGCAAACTATCTGTTTTAGAAACCCCCACTTATCTCTTCTTATGGAATCCAATATAAGTCAGTAGACCTATTCTATTATTTGATTTTGACCAGGCTTGCTTGGTATTTAAGCTATGGAGAGGGTTATTCTCAGAGTCTCTCTGAAGGATAGGATCTTTAACGAGGTGATCCGACAGAGAACTAAAGTTACTGACTTAGCCCTAAGGATTAAAAAGCTGAAATAGCACTGGACTGGTTACATTTGTCAAAGAACCAACCTTTGGGGTAGACGTGTTTTGGAGTGGAGGTGTCTAAGCAAATATAGTGTAGGGCGCCAGGTGGCGTGACGATATCCGTAAAATGGCTGGTGGCAACTCAACAATATAAAAAGTAGTAATGGTTTTTGTACTTCTCAACTAAAACAATGAAGACAGGCAGAACCACAGCACGAGCGCTAGTGCAAACTTAAACTCGAACTTATTCATTAACGCCAAGCTTTTGGGCGGGCAGTTAAAATTCATATCTTATTAACTAAGCTGAGAACCACTTATAAACTAACTCGTAACTTAGTCGAGCTTAATTATTATATAAACCGCACCTAATTTAAGTGCTTCGTAATTTTTGGATTATTTCTCTAATAGATTTTGATTAAGTGTTTCATCATCATCATCATCATCAAAAGCCTATAAATGCCCACTGCTGAGCAAAGCCTCTTCTCACACGGAGAAGGTTAGAGCATTAATCACCACGCTTGCTCAATGCGGGTTGGCGATTTCAAACTTATAATTAGAAATTATAAGTCCAGGTTTGATCACGATGTTTTTCCTTCACCGTTTGTCAGTGGTGTCTAAATAATCTTAGAAAGTACATATAACTCGGGAAAAGTCACATTGGTACTTGCCGTTGGTAGGTTTCGAACCCGCACCCTCATGCATGAGAAGTGGGCGTCTTAAACCTCCGGGCCACCACGACATTAAGTTAAGTGACATTAATTAAGTGTTTCATTGATTTGTAAAATCTAAAGTTTAATTTTGAGTGAGTTTTGAATTGTAAGTACGTCGTACTATAGAATTGGATTAAAGAACTGTGTAAGATTAGATTACTATTGATGATTAAGTGTAGGAGCCATGCTTCGGCATGAATGGGCCGGCTCAACCGGAGTGATACCACGACCTCACAGAAAACCGACGTGAAGCAACGCTTGCGTTGTGTTTCGTCATGTGAGTGAGGTTACCGGAGGCCCAATTACCATCCCCTTTCCCCAATCTCTCCAATCCCTGAATCCCCAACAATCCTCAAATTCCTGATATCCAAAAGGCCGGCCGATAAGGCGTTACAAACGCCTATGGTGTTCCAGGTGTCCATGGGTAACGCCGATTGCTTACCACCAGGTGATCGCTCGTTTATCGGCTTATCCAATAAAACCTCTATTACCATTTAACATACAGTTACCAATAAATAGTCTTTAGCAATTTTTCCTCGATAATTTAGCGAACTGTCAACCATAGAAATAGCCACGTCCGTTCAATATTTCATACTACAAGTGACAGGTAATGACACCTATTTCTCCCCCCCTAGTAACGTTACGCACGTTCGAACCTGTTATAAATCTGCGGTTCCATGTTTTCTGTAATCGGACGGCATTGTATTGCAATTTCAACTTTGTGTTATTGTATTTTATAGTTGCAATTTCGTTGAACCAGTAAACTATTAACCCTTAACTATCCAGAATGCTTTTGTGACGTAACTGACCAGTAGTGTCCAACAGACTCATTGTATAAATGTAAGGTATGATGAAAGAAAAAAAAGATATTTTGAATGAAAAAGACAGTATAATGTATCTAAGTGATGTGTATTTAAACTTATTTACTTATAGATATTACAATTATTTTTTTCCAGAATATTCAGTGCATGTATTGCGTTTGCATTCAGCACAACACTGTTTAGAAGCCCTTGATAATTTCGAAGGGAAAACGCTTCTTCCTTTTTCCATTGTAGCTTGATATATTGGATTGCCAAAGATAGGGCACCAGTATTCTCTAAAATCTACACCTCCCTGTTTATTGACGCTTATAATCAATAAAAGACCTCGGAGTACTTGCATTTCGATTTTATATCTGTTGATTTCCATCGATTTTGTAAAATTATAAGCCCTTCAATATTGGTATATTATACTATTATTTGTAATACGTGATGGTCGAAAAAAAGGCTGAAACTGTCTATTGGATCTATTATAGTTTGGCCCCGAGGAGGAAGAATCACCTTATGGATACCACCGCGAATTATGTTGTGTCGAGGCGTTCGGTTTTGCCTGTTAGGTTCTGATTTCCAAGTTGTTATCTCTTCCTTTATAAGTGTAAATTGAGACGTATTCTTGTCATCATCATACTGTTATTCCATAATTGTTCATCATCGTTTTCAGATGCTGGTTCTGTGACATTACTTTCACTATCAGAACAGCTGTCAACAGCAAAATTCTCATCATCACTATCGCACTCGTGGACAAAAATGTTTTCATCGTCACTTTCAACAAGGGCACGTTGAATTTCACTTTGTTATAGTTGCCGTTTAGCCATATCATTCAATAAAAACGAATAACAACATGACTAAATTTTGACAAGAGTTTATGATTACTGATACATGATACGATTACAAAAACTATGATTATAACACAAACAAAGGTCTAGCAACCGCTTTTGCCCACCCGACACCATAAGATTATAAGTAAATGTAAATAAAAACAATCTACCTTCACACTTGAATCAAATAAAATGATATTGTGTCTGTTGGACACTTCTGGGTTGATGAAGCACTATTTTCGTTTATTGACCAAAAATAATAAATTATTCACGTTACAAATATTTTCATTGCACATTTAGATTCGTAAAACATTGGCGATAAAATAGATAAAAGGCCGATTCATAAAAATAAAAACTTTAGTTTTTATAAAAACATAAACGCAAAATTGTGTCCGCGAGACACTTGTGGGTTGTTAAGGGTTGGGTATGTATTAATAAGATTGTTAGTGATAATAAGATTGTTAGTGTAATAATTGAATTTAGATCTATTAACAGAACAATAAAGCTATTAATTGCTGCTGAGAGGTCTGGAATTGTGTTTGGCATTTTGTAGTATAGACTGGTGTAGCCAAAAATATAACATAACATCACACCTATTATCCCCGGTAGAGGTTCACATTACAGCACTTAATGCTATTGTACAATGTAACACCCATTTTTCACTATTTATGTCATGAGTCAAATGTAATAGGGGATGAGCCTATTGGCATAATCCGGGCACAATTTCAGACTCCGTGCTACAACTGAGATTATTTTAAAAACAGTATCTAATAATCTGCCCGACCCAGAAATCGAACCCGAGACCACTTGCCCGGTAGTCGCAGTTGCAAACACTCAGCGAACGAGGCA